AAAATAAAAACAAAAAGTTTATACCAAATCTCTTAAAATTAGTAAACTAAAATTGATTCCTTAGAGTATTAGTATGATTTGTTGAAATTTCATTTGGTTCAAAAAATTAATGAATATATAGCCAAATATGAGTAAAATATAGAATTTGCAAGAAGATTAAAAATTATAGAATATTATTTTTATTTGTGTCAAATAAGATTATATAATTGATAATTGATGTATAGATGTTATCTTATTAATTTTTTTCAAATAGACCACTTTTATGTTTAATGAATTTTTAAGTATCAAATCCAATATAAAAGATATAAATATATCACATTATTTTTATCTATTATACTTAAAGTGTGTCCACCCTAGAACATTTTTTTTTGTTTCGCCAATGCTCTCAGGGATTTTTACTCCTCATTTTTTTAAATTAATCGGTTAGTTTACGTTACACTGTACTTTCAGGCACAGGTTAACCCCAGAAGAAAATGGATTTGGTAATCTCACCCATTGTCATTTTTATTGTATATGACAATAAAAGTTGTACCAAATGATGGCGTCTAGGAAGTTATTAGAATTTATAAAATAGGTGGACCATGAAACAAACACAGTTTTTTCTTTTTCTTTTTCTTTTTCTTTTTTCCTTAATATTTTTAATCTTGCAACTAATACAATAGTTCCTTACAATATGCCGTTATTGGGTGACAGACTTAAAATACAACAACCAAATATCCACTGATGAAGCCATTTTAACTCATTCTTAATGATCCTGATTCGGCTAGTCCTTTAGAACTGGGATGCTTCAAATTCTTACTTCTGTTCCAGACCTTATATCATCAAATGATCTTCAAGAAATGACTGCCTACCTTATTTAAGATTGTTCAGTAAGCAAACCTAGCGTAAATCGGAATGCTAAACCTAGTTTTATTTAAAAATTACTTATAATTTGATAATGTTATTTAGACAAAATTGATTAACTGACCTATTTTGCTTTAGCAAATTGAGTCAAAATATTAAACCCATGTAGCATCACTCCTCAAATAACATCTACATGGGCTATCTCCCGGTTTTGACATCCATTGATACAATGCCTGTAGCTTATCACCCAAAATAAAATTAAGTTTAAGTTGGTGAAGATTACTCCCAAATACATAACAGATTTCTCACTAAAAAGAAAAAGTTGAAAGAACGGCACAATGTGCAGTGCTAATCGAATGGAAATTATGGATTCCCCAAGCAAACCCTCATCTGTGGCCTTGCATTTAACATTGAGAATGATAGGAAATAGTTTCATGCGTCGTCACTATCATAACCATCCCTAAAGAAAGAGCTTTGTTACATACATCTCAACACGAAAGAAGACACTCATGTGTTTGCATTATTTATTCATTCAACTTGCGTTGGAAGGTTGTTAGTGTCAACATATTGTATAATATATATTAGGACCATATCGATGATCATTCAACAAAGCAGTAATCTCACCCATCAATATTATTATTTTTTATTTTATATGACAATAAAAGTCATACCAAATGATGGTGTCTAGGCAGTTATAAGAAATTGGAAAATGGGTGGACCATGAAACAAACACAGTTTTTCATTTTTCATTTTTCCGTAATATTTTTAATCTTGCAGCTAATACAACAATTCCTTATAATATGTCGTTATTAGGTGACAGACTTAACATGGAAACGATTGTATTTAATCGACCTTTTTCATCAAATAACTACTCTATAAATCATGTGTTTCACACACACATGTTGTAGAGAGTGACATCCTTGGTGGTTAAAACCCTGTCGGTCTTTCTTAAAACAAGAGTGGATATCATCTTTGACGGCACACGCATGACGCATATCACCTTTGAATATTCGGAAACTTGATTTTGAAAAAGTATTATTGCGATCCTAATTCTTAGACTTTTTCATTATAATTTTTTCACTTATCATATCATTAATTCAATAAATTATGATCACTTATCAGAAAAAAGAAAAAAAGTTATGTTTTGTTGGATGTGATGAAAAAAATGAAAAGATAAAAAATTAAAATAATATATAAAATATCTTGTTTTCTAAATAAAGAAAATAGGAAGAATATAAAATATCATATTTAATTATTTAAACATGCACAATTAACTTTTCTTCTAGCTCGGAAAAATCTATCCTCCCAAGTGTTTTCAGCCATCAATGTTGAAATTTTTAAATGTGTACGACATTAAATAAAAGACACACCAAACTATGACGTTTATAAAATGGCGGGAATCTAGAAGTTCTATGAAAATAAATAGGTGGAACCAGTCATTGCTTTTATTTTTCTTTTTTTTTCCTCTTATTTTTAATCTTGTGATCCACGCAATAGACACAAAGATTTATTCTAATATGTCGTTTTGAGGTGACAAACTTAACTTGGGAGTGATTTATTTTATTGTATAAATAGCTGTACTTTTAAATAAAATAAGGATGTTCCAACTTTCAACAACCCATTGGGAGTGATGTTCCAACAACCCTAGAAGCACATCTGGACAGCAAGATTTAATGATTTTTGTGATTATTTTTACAATATTAAGGTTGATCAGAAGGTATCATAATAATAATAAAAATAATTATCATAAAATTTATAAAAATATTCATAAAAATTATAAAATGACTCACACAAATTATAAATAGCTGTACTTTTTTTCAGTACCTCAGACTATTCTAAAAAAACAAGGATGTTCCAATTTTCAACAACCCATTGGGAGTGATGTTCCAACAACCCTAGAGGCTCACCTGGATAGCTGTACAGCAAGACTTAGAGATTCATGGGTCAACTTTTTAAATATTATGAGAAATGACATCTCTGAAAAAGGTATATTTATAGAACAAAATTACATTTGGCATCCCTAGGCCCCTTTGCTATTGTCATATCAGTTTTTGACTCAAAAAAATAAAAAAAAATAATCACATGTACATTATACACTTGTCTTTTACTTGGCTTTGCATTGTCACAAAACCCAGATGATCTGTACTGTATAACAAGTTAGATATTGGTTTCTTGGCATTAATAATAGGAAAAAATATTAATAAAGTCTGATTTTTTATCCCAAAAAACAATCTAATCCTATCAAACTTTGTTTTATTTGTGGCTCACATTTTGTTTTATCTACATATACATGCAGGTGGCAATTATTATCTAGAAGAGTTTTTTTGCCCTGAATATTTTTGTGGAGGATTACAGATTGGATATTACAATGACACTTTTGTAATTAAAACTAAAATAATAAACCTATAAAATAATAAAAATTACGACTTCTTTGAAACTAATTAAGAAAAGTAGGACTTAATTGTTTAATTATAAATTTGATAGGACTGAATTATTTTTTAACATAAAAAGTAGAATTTATTGATGTTTTTCCTTTAATATTACATCAAACTCTTTGGCATAGTTATAATTTTGATTTTGATTTTTGTTTTTTGGCTTTTTGTGTACATGAAGGAGACATAACATAATAATCATGTTATATTGGCAAAGATACTACAAAATTAATTCATAGTACAATCATGCATCGTGTTAATTTTCACATCCATGCCAACTTGGTGATATATTTTTTTTATACAAATTCTAAATATCAATAGATATGACCAACTTTCGATTACTTGTAATGCCCTTAAAAAATATAAAAATAAAGGTTACTTGGGAATCGAAATTACTCGAGAATTGAAATAATTTTATGTAATTCTCACAACCATATCCTTACATATGTGAAAACAATATCATAATAAACATAGAAATTTAGGAAACCAGTATCAATATCAGAAAAGTTGAGAAAACTTAGCGTTAAAATACTTTTTAATTCTAAGGAAACAAGATATAAAATAAAGGATATAGTTGAAATTACTAAAGAAAACAACACCGACTAAAATTATGTTTCAATAGTATTAGTGTAGCAAAAAACTCTAGATATTGAAATGACATTAAGTCTAGTTTTGGAAGGATTTATTACCTCTGCCATGATCGACTAAAATTCAAAAGCCCATTACTCATCAACAGTTTGGTAATATATATATATATATATATCCAATGGTTGTTGTCCTCATTATTGAACATTAAAGTTACGGATTTGAATCTCATTGTCCTCCTACATGTAATGGTGCTTGACAAAAAGGAAAAGAAATGCCACACAAGGAAAACATAAATACTGCATAACACAAAACAAACTTCAACATTGCAAAAACAAGATTAATTTTGCACTTTGTGGTCATCGAATCGCTTAATTGAATAAATTTTTTGACTACATGATTATTTGGCCACTCTCAAGATAAAATTTTGGCCCTGTCCTTGACTGTGTCCATAGATGTCGCAGATGGCTTGCAAGATCAACACTGAGATTAGGATGAGGGAATAAAAGAAGCACAAGACCTTCCATGACGCTTTGACAATTTTTCAGGACGAATCCAAACATTTCTTGACGAATCTCCATGCCTTCACCATTAGCATACTATCGTAATGCTTGGTAACTTTCTCAACAACAAGTTTAGATTGAAGATGTTCATAATTCGAACAAGACTTATTTAATAATAAAATTAAATTTTTTATTGAAATTGTTCGAACTGAGTTGAAAGCCACATGGTTGAATTTGGTTTGTTTACAAATTGAACTTGAAAATAGGATTAAATTTATTTTATCATTTAATTTGAATTGAGTATAAAGCTAACAAGCCAAAATGAAGCCTATTATAAACCGAACTCGAGTTGCTCCAATCGTATAACAGATAGACCATGGAATGAAAATGAAATACAAAATTATAAAGCCAGATCATTGAGCTAGGTTGGCTGTCTTTTATTGCAGTACTATGTTGTACAACCAGTAGGAAGTTCAGGAGAGGTAACCAAAAAAAAAACAAAAACAAAGAAAAGCCACACTAGGAAATCGAATACTGCATAACACAATACAAACATTAACGTTGCAAAACCAAGATTAATTTTGCACTTTGTGGTCATCTGAATCGCTCCATTGAATAAAATTTTTTGTCTTCACCACTATTCGGCCATTCTCAGGATAAAATTTTGTCTTTGTCCCCAACTGCATCCATAGATGTTGCAGAAGGCTTGCAAGATCAGCACTGAGATTAGGATGAGGGAATAAAAGAAGCACAAGACCTTCCATGACCCTTTGACAAAATTCCAGGACGAATCCAAACATTGCTTGACGAATCTCCCAGCCTTCACTATCAGCTTACTATCGTAATGCTTGTTAACTTTCCCAGCAAGTTCAGATTGTTTATTAATGAATTTTGTTATCCCGTTGAAAATATTTGTAATTTGATCATGAGAAAGATTGTCTTTGATGACGATGATTTTCTGCTCCTGGAGGATCTTCACGTCCTCTGCTGTATCTATAATTCCACACATCAAATCAATGTATTCTGCAAGCTCACGCTTAGACCCAGCTGGCAAGACCAAAGCTTCATAAGCCACCAAGTTTCTTAATATAACTTCTGAATTATCTTTCAGAGTAATTTCAGGGAGGTTCAAAGTGCGTGTTTCCTCGTAGAATTTGATGCCCCTAATACCCTCTTTTGCGATGGCAAACTTCACTCCAGCATTTTTTTGAAGGCTTGACACCGAAGGAATTTCCATCTCGACTGCTGTATTATGATTTTGGAATAATGGAAAACAATTCTTATCCAATTGCAGTTGTTTTATGAGATCGATAATAGCCTTAGTGTTTTGTGCAACAGAAGTTGTACGCTGTTGTTTTAAGAAATCGATAATAGGCTTACTCATGTTTTGTAAATCAGAAATCGTAGTGCCTGCAACTTCTGCTGCTGCCATTTGAACTTCTTCTGCTTCCGTTGAATAAAATTCTGCTGCTTCCCTTGGATAACATTCTGCTGCTTCCATTCGAGCGTCCTCGAGCTGGTTTCGTTTCTCCTTCTTTTTTTTTCCCACCTTCAGACGGATGTTCCCGTCGTTTACAACTAAATGGTACAAACAATCCAGAAGATGCGCAGGTGTGCGTTCAACACAATCTGGCCCAGGCTTGTTTGTCCATTTTAAGGGTGAGTGTGCCACACAGAAATCACGTACTACTTTGTCTGACAATTGGAATTGGTCGATTACTCCATCGATTTCCTCAAACAGAAGAATAGGAATTTGGTTCTCCAGCATAAATATGTCCTGTGCCAAAACACTCTTAAATGCACAATCTACTGGAACTTGAACACCTAGATGATGATGCAAGAACAAACCATCAATTGCCCATATCCATGCTAATGTATGGCCTTCAAGATCCAAGTAGTCGCCGTAGCACGCCCGGGCGCTGGGCTCAAGCTCCACCAGTTTACCCACAATGAGTTGCCGAAATTGAGCGATCCGGTCCGCTGTTACAACTTTTTTCACGGCACTTAGCTTCTCCATCTCCATATGATCATAGAGCTCGGGCCGAAAATGGTGATATGGTCCGAGGCCTATTCGCTTCGGGGCATAAGCTTCCGGCTTCTCGGCTCGTAAGGTTTGGGGCACTCGAGAGATGCAAGGTAAATCACATTTGATGTCAATCTTGAGCTCTTTTTCGAACTTCTTCTCCATTTGATGGACCCATCGGTGCTCGCCCAAGCTTGAACTGAACATGGAAGTAATTTCCGTATCATTGGAGGAGACAGACGCCATGACTCAACTCAACTATACTTCTCTGCAATCACAGTTTCAAAGACTAATCAGACATAAAATGCCCATAACACAGCACAACCAGGTCTAAATTTTCCCTGAAAATTCTCTGTCTAAACATTAAGGTTCATTTGCAAATTCACAAGTAAGCAAAAGGCAAAAATAAAAACCCAAAAGCTTACCACCTAGTGACAACTTTTGAGTCAGGGATCCATCTTTAAATATTAAAACTTATCCTAAAATATTAGGATCGATCACAAATTTTTAGGTTGAATTACAAAAATCCTAGAAGTTGTGAATGATAAAAATTGTACAAAAACTATTAAAATTTGTATATATTGTATAGTACCGGCCTATTTTCCATAGTTTTTAAGTCCAATATTTGGATATGAACTTAATGTTAGGGAACGAATGACTTATGTAAATATAAAAAATTGGTAAAGAAAGGATTTCAGAATGAAAATGGTAGCCAAATTAGGAAGAGATGAAACGAGAGAAAAATTAAGAAAGTTTGTTGGTTCTTGAAGAGCAAAAAAGAGTAATTGGGGCACATTTACCTGCAAACACAGCTCTTCTTTGCTCTTGCCTACAAACTTGTATCTTTGAGGTATTTATAATTGAAAGATTTTGCTTGCTGTCAAAAAATGTGGGTCCAACAAGTATTACGATTCCAATCTTAATCTTATCTGGTTGCAATCAATCATAACCTAACAACCAATCTACAATCATGTTGCATAGTAATAGTGTGCTTGATAGAGGGGATGAAAAAATGAAATGATAAAAAAGAAAAGTAATATTTGTTTCACCTTTTAAAAAATAAATCATTCTTTCCCGCTTGTGCTTAATAGGAGGGATAGAAAATGAGAATGATTAATTTTTTTTCTTTTTTTGTTTTGTTGGATGGAAAAATAGAATGAAAAAATATATATGCATATTTTATCATTGTAATTGTATATGAAATTAATTTATACATAATACGTTTTTCTACTTTTTCATCATCTGCATTGAAAAATCCTGCCGGCCATTATTAAGTGTTATTATATTGCCACCATGTAATATTCAAAAATTGATGAACCTTTGTCCACCTAATTCTTTATTTTATTATTTCCTTAGGAGACCTCAAAAGTAACACTAACATAGTTTATATAAAATAAATTACCCACGTGTGTAAATACTTTAGTTTAGAATTGTGTAGACATCCCGTATTATTATGATGTAATCAAACCCTATTATTATGATGTAATCTAACGCTATTATTATGATGTAATTTAGCCTATCTTATCAAACGAGCCTTTAACAATTCTACAAGACAAACTCATCCACTACTTTTACAATCTGTTAATTTTCATGCAAAACAAAGCATAATACTTTAGTAAACCATCACAATATACACCAAATGCAAATAAAGAGTGCAGACATACACACAGTGTCAAGAAAATTAATTCTTTTTTTCTTTAAATATAAAAAAATAAAGCTTATATCAGAAAATTATTCGCTAAGATATCACAACAAAAGACATAAATCAAAACAGGAAGTACAAAGAACATCTTATAAAACATATCATCCAGCCAAAATTGTAAAGAATGGGTTTCCCTTGAAATCTCTTGTAATCGAAACTCAAAATAATCTTGCATTTTGCTCGTTCTACATGACCCACCACAAAGTAGCCATAATAGTGCAATTCCAAAGTGTCAAATCTTTACCTCTCCTCTCAATCCCTTCTAAATCCTAAACAATCACAAATGTAACCGAGACGAAAATCACCCAATGGCCAACCAATCTAAACAACTTGTACCACAATGACAGTGCAATAAGAAAATACAAAAATTAATGATCAATAATTTTTTCTGCTTGAAATGAAATTCAGTTCGACCTTATTGAAATGCTTATATTGCCTGTTGCCAATGTCAATTTCTCCTCATAATCTTCGTGGCCGGCTGCATATTCGTCTCACTTACCTAATCACCATTCATCAGCCAAAAATATCACAGTTGCAATTCAAATATCAAACCATACATATTTTTTTATGCACCCACAGCTCTTTTGGTAGAGTCGCATAATGAGGGATCCAAAATCTAAATTTTCAAGGGGAGTGTGGTTTGTGATGCACCAAAAGATGTTTTTAATCACCGAGATTATTAAGCCTATGAGCTATTCAACTTTTGAGTTAAAATAACATAATGGATGTCTCTCTATTTCTATTGGGGGTCTTGGAAGGGTGAAGGGTCCTATTTAAAGAATCCTATTCAATCGTTCAATATAATGAAGTAGCTGTTTGAATAATAACTCATTTAGGTTCATGTATTAAAATGTCCTAATATCATTGTTGAAGGGTATTAAAAGAAAACAAAAGTTTTTCAAGAATGTTGATATTTTATAATAGTACTAGTTATTGCTTGTACCTGAAGGTACAGAGTAATAAAAAATGATAAATAATAAATATATTTGTATTCATATTCAAAATTAAATCTCAAACATAGAGAAGAAATAAATGAATTTAAACATCGATTTATAGTGGGGGTGAGAGATAATAGACGACAGTGGTGGTGGTAGGAGATAATAATAGTTATGGTGACGGTAGTGGCGGCGGCGATGACGATGACGGTGGTGGTGACGACGACGGGTGGTGGTCGCGATGGCGGTCGTGGTGATGGTAGAGATAGTGATGGAGCGGTTTAAAACAATAATTTTCTTTTAAAGTACTTATGATAAATAATTCTTAAAAACACTTTTAACAAATTACTCCAAATACACCCTTATAGACCTATTTTTTCCTATTAAATTTGGAGTTTTAATATTAGCCGTTAGATTAACTTTAAAGTAAAATTTAAAACAATCTCAACCGCAAATAACAAAAATTATTTTGTTTATCTTTTGAAATTTGAATTGTAAGCTACTTTATATAAATAGGAATTCAAACTAGATTGTCAATCAAAAATATAAACTTGTATTTGATTAATTGAATATAAATTTGAATCAACAAGTCCAATTCATTCACGATATGATCAGTTGTAAACCAGAGTTCAAATCTATTTTATGTGTGAAGTAGGAAAAGAGATTATGTCCTTCGCTAAAAATAGAAAGCAATAATTTGCATGTTTTTTTTTCATGACAGGGTTTTGATTGAGCGAGTTTTACAACATTGAAGATAAGATTGAGGTTGTTCATAATTCGAGCAAAATTTATTTAATAACAAAATTAAAATTATTAATGAAATTGTTTGAGTTGAGTCGAGAGCCACATGGTTGAATTTGTCTGGTTTACAAATCGAACATGAAAATAGAATTAAATTTATTTTATCATTCAATTTGAATTGAGTATAAAGTTAACAAGTCAAAATTAAGCCTATTATAAACGAAACTCAAGTTGCTTTATCGTATAACAGATAGACCATGGGATGAAAATGAAAAACAAAATTATAAAGCCAGATCATTGAGGTAGGCTGGCTGTCTTTTATTGCACTACTACGTTGTACACGAAGTTCAGGAGGTAAGAAAAAAAAACCTCACAAGGAAAACATCAAATACTGCATAACACAACACAAACATCAACATTGCAAACCCAAGCTTAATTTTGCACTTTGTGGTCATCGAATCCTTCTGTTGAATAAAATTTTTCCACTACACCACTACTCGGCTCTCTGAAGATAAAATTTTGGCTCTGTCCCTTACGGCAGCCATAGATGTCGCAGAAGGCTTGCAAGATCAGCACTGCGATTAGAATGAGGGAATAAAAGAAGCACAAGACCTTCCATGACGCTTGGACAAAATTCCAGGACGAATCCAAACATTTCTTGACGAATCTCCAGACCTTCACTATTAGCATACTATCGTAATGCCTGTTAACTTTTCCAACAAGTTCAGATTGTTTATCAGTGGATTTTGTTATCCTGTTGAAAATATCTGCAATTTGATCATGAGAAAGATTGCCTTCGATGTATTCTGCAAGCTTACGGTTACTGGTAGAGTCGGTAGACCCAGCTGGCACTGGCATGGACAAAGTTTCATAAGCCAACAAGTTTCTTAATATAACTTGTGAATTTTCATTCAGAGTGATTACTGGGAGTTTTAAAGAGTGTGTTTTGTCGACGAATTTGATGGCACTAATTGTTGAAAATTGCAGAGAATGAAGCTAGCTCATCAGATTCCACTCAGCTGATGATTCCACTGATCACCATCCAGCTCAGCATAGAACACACTAGAAGGATCTAGCACAGCTCACTAGAAGATTCTTGAGGCACATGGAAGCTCGTAGTTAGTTAGGAAAATTTCCCTCATGTGTAAAACATTTAGATGAATAATTTTGGTGTACACTTGTAGCTAGTATAAATATAGATGTATGTACAGCAAAATATATGGAATGAGTATGATTCTCTTCTTCATCTTTTCTCTCCTTAGCTTTCTGCACTCTGTTCTTAAGTTTTTCAATACTAATACCCCCTTCCGCGATGGCGAATTTCACTCCAATTTTTTGAAGGCTTGACACAAAAGGAATTTCGATCTCGAGTGCTGTATTAGGTTTTTTGAACAATGGAGCACAAATCTTATCCAAATGCAGTTGTTTTATGAGATCGGCAAGTTTCTGAAGTTCTTCTAAAATAGAAGTTGCAGTGCTTTCAAGCCCTCCTCCTGTCATTCGAGCCTTGCTTCCCACTTTCAGCCTGATGTGCCCGTCGGTTACAACTAAATGGTACATACAATCCAGCAGATGAGCAGGTTCGTGTTGTTTATCGTGACGATGCCCCTGCTTTTGTGTCCATTTTAACGGTGAGTGTACCTCACAGAAATCACGTACTACTTTGTCTGACAATTTGTATTGGCTGATATGATCCTCGATTTCTTCTAACAGAAGAAAAGGAATTTGGTTCTCCAACATAAATATGTCCTGTTCCAAAAAATTCTTACCTAAGTTTTGATGCAAGTACAAACCATCAATTGCCCATATCCATGCTAATGTTTCGCCATCAAGATCCAAGAGCTTGTCATAGCATGGCCGGAGTTTGGGCTCAAGCTCCTTCAGTTTATTGATCATGGTTTGTGGGAATTTGCCATTCTTGTCCTGTTTTACAGCACTTTTTATTATAGTTAGCTTCTTCCTTTCCATAAGATCATAGAGGTCGGGCAGAAAATGGTGATATGGTCCGAGGCCTATTCGCTTCGGGGCATAAGCTTCCGACTTCTCGGCTCGTAAAGTTTCGGGTACTCGAGAGATGCAAGGTGTTATGTCAATGTCAATTATCTCGAAGTTCTTCGCCATTTGAATGACCCATCGGTGCTCGCCGGAGCTTGAGCTGAAAATGGAAGTAATTTCGGCATTGTTGGAGGAGGACTCAGACGCCATAATCCAACTCCTCTGCAGTCACAAATTCTAAGACTAATCAGGCATAAAATGACCACACCAGACAGGAGCAGACCAGACCAGACTAGACTACCAGTGCATAACTAGGATCTATGGTCTGTTTGGATAGTGTTTGTAAAACAGTTTTATGTTCTCAAATATTCAAAAATAAAAGAAAACTTTGTTTAGTCAGGTTTTGCGTTCTCCAAATATTTTTTTTAAAAAAGTGGGAATTGAACTATGTTTCATTTATGTAAACATGAAGTTTCGCCTTTGGGTGTGTGTGTTATTTAAATATCTCACTGGGCACTTCCTCTTTTAAGAGGTTGTGTCTAGTGTGTGTTCAAAAAACATGAAGTTTCGCTTTCAAACTCATACAATTACGCAAAAGGCAAAAGTAACAACCAAAAAGCTTATCTGGTCATAAACAGTTGAACTCAAACCTACTTCGAAACCATAACCTTAGTAGTGTTACAGTAATTTGTTTCAAACTTATTCATTGAATTTGGTTTCTTTGCATACTCGTCGTTGAATTCTATTAAATTTTACCTCATACGTGCTGAAAGTTACCTCATATTTAATTACAAACAAAAAAAAAGGTATATCTTAAAAATATTAAAATCAATCACAAAATTTTAAGATGTATTGCAGATCCAAAAATTATAAATGACTCAAAAAAATCATATAAAAACTTCTAAAAGATATTTAAAGGAGATCCTCCAGAGTCTTAAGTCTAATATTTAGATACAAAGTCTTAGCCACGTAGATGTTGAGGAATGAATGGGCTCAAGTAAATATGAAAAATGGTGAAGAAAGATTGTGTTTTTTTTTCGGGTTACAAAGTGTTTAAATTTGTGTCAATTACTCTATTAAATTTAACGGCTAGCCACCGTAGCCAGCTCCTAAGGAATGTGAAAAGAAATTAAGACCTCTAAGTTATCAGAAGACAAGCTTAATCCCTGAACCACCCCAAGGGTTTGGTGAAGAAAGATTCTTTGAATGAAAATGATAGCCAAATGAAGGGAGAGAGAGAGAGAGAGAGGGATTGGGATGTTGAGGAATGAATGGGCTGAAGTAAATATGAAAAAAGGTGACGAAAGATTCTTTGAATGAAAATGGTAGCCAAATGAGGAGAGATGAAACAAGAGAGAGAGAGAGAGAGATTGGTGGTTCTTTAAGGGCAATTGGGGCACACTTACCTGCAAACACTGCTCTTCTTTGCTCTTGCCTACAAACTTGTATCTTTGATGTATTTATAATTGAAAGATTTTGCATCGTGTCAAAAAATGTGGGGGCGGACAAATATTACGATTCAAATCTTATTTTGTTGCAATTACTCATAACCCAACAACTAATCTACAATCATGCTGCATAGTAATAGTGTGTTTGATAGAGTGGATAAAAAAGTAGAATGATAAAAAATAAGAATAATATATTTTTTATCCTTCGATGGATACACCTTTCTTTCTCACTTATATTTGGTAGGAGGGATAGAAAATGATAATGATTGATTTTTTTTTCTTTTCTGTTTTGTTGGATGGAAAAATAGAATAAAGGAAAAAATATACATACATATTTTATCGTTATATCTATGTATGAAATTAATTTGTACATAATATGTTATCGACAAAAATAAGATACATTCATATATATAAAGATAAATATCATGTATTTCAAGAGTCATAATTAATTTTCTTTCACTTTTTCTCTCAAATTTAAAAAGATAAATTTTTGTGAGTTAAAAGAAAGGCGAATCCTTCCACCTTTTTATTCTTTGCATTTTTCTTATTTATCAAAACCTAATATTTTATCCATCATTTAAACTTTTAACTTTTTCATTCTTTCATTTTTTTTTTTGGCATTGAAAATCCTACCGGCCATTATTATTATGTTGTCCACTTAATTCTTTATTTTATTATTTCATTAGGACACCTCACATGTCACACTAACACCATTTTTATAAAATAACTTACCCCACCATTTGTAAATACTTTTGAAAACTAGTAGAACCGTCGTTTTAGTTTAGAATAGTGATGTAATCTAACCTTATTATTATGATGTTATTCTAAAACCTATTTTAACAATTAAATGGTACAGATTCTTTGAATTTTGTGTAACCTTAGTCGTCTTTGAGTCATTTTTAAAAAGTGAGGAGGTGACAATATAGGAATGAAACAGGATGCATGACAAACAACAAATAAAATTGGGGTCATGTTAAAAGCAGGCTTCTTGAACTTATTTATCGCAAATAGCTATAGAACTTGTCTTGATGGTCTTCTTTCTCTGTATCTTTCGTCAAAAGCAACGCTATGTTTGGACAATTTTTTTCTTGTCGTTACTTGCAATTGTTTGATCTTTGATCATTTTGTGAATATTTTTGGTACTTTAGCGTAATTGCATACATCTTATGTCTGACCTAATTGCATAAAAACCTTGTTAAATACCTTGGCTCTTTACCATTGATGAAGTCAATCATCAATGTGAAATGATGGATATTTATTGTGTATTGCTACCTTATTGACTTGGTTGCATCTTATGCTGATATATCAAAGTAATATATTTTCAACATGAGCAAAGAGTTAACGAACAACATTTAATGATTTAAGTAGTGGCATATTATCTTATGATGATGGATTTAAATCTGAGCTCCTTCTTGAGCTCAAAGCCTCTAAAGGGCTCATCAAAGACAAACCAAGCGGCTCTTCTAGACAATATCTTCCATATTCGAGCTGGACCACAGCCCCGCTCCATGAAAAGCCTAGGGTCATTTAGCCCAGACTAGTGTCCAGATCAGCCTACAACGAGCTCGGTGACAATCATTTGCTCGGGAATATGAGCTCGATACCAAGCGGATTTAAACTGACAATTCTAACGAACAAATATTCTTTGGTGGAGGGGATATCACATATATTCCATTTCATGGATAGTGGGTGCAAAAAAGTCATGTTGGTAGGCCAATTACAGGACAAATGAAGAGGAGACCACCAAATCAGTCAAAAAAGGAAGAATTATAAAAACTATGGGATCAAGGGTATAAATAGGAGACAAAGTTACTCTAAAGAGATCACCATAGTCAACATAAGAAATACTTTGTAAAAGACTCCCATCTAAGTCTTCTGTAACCGCTACCTACTTCTTTAAGCAATAAACCCTTAAGGAGTAAGAGTCTCCATTATAATAGACATAGTCTTAGTCTTTCGATTGAGGTAAACCACTCACATTATTGCCTTCATCACCTTTCATACACTGAACACATCTCCATCCACAAACACACACAAAGTTCGTCCTGGGCCTCACCACTTCACGGTTCTGTAATTGGATAAAAAGATTTCGAGTACCATCACTATCATATACATAGCAATAATTTGTACCCAAGACAATCTATAAAGTAAAAATTAAGTATTGATTGTGTAAACTTTATATTGAACATAGTAATTTATTTTTTTTAATTACATAATTTAAACTATACAATGTGGAACAATCGTCATACACGTGGTCTACATTTAGTTCAAATCAACTCCATTGATTCAAGTTATAATTCAAATAGGTCAACATTACGAATTCATAAAATTAAAATTTTTTAGATTGATCAAAATCGATTTTAATTTTTGCATATTGATTATATATGATCATATTGAGTCATAATTTAACATATTTGAGTCACAAAATAATTTACTTCAATTTTAATGGTTAAAGCAGTAACAAAAAATACCAAGTAATCCCCAATTTATTATCCTGTACGAACAAAAACCCTAAAATTTCAAACTTCTTTTTAACAATTCTATATGTTATCTTTGTCTGATCTCCCTTGTTTTGGCTCTAGCTCTGTTCAATACTCAGAATGGTGAATTGATCAATTTCAAAACTAGATAACTCGAAAGTCAATCAAAAATTGTTCGTTACTAAAACTGGCTAACAGAAAGAGCGAAAAGAAAAAGATCATGTCTCACTAGTAAGACAAACATGAGTGCCTAGCACCCCCATTTATCGTTAGGTTGGGCAAGCTTTGACTTCATTTTGATAGGGGTAAGTACCCTTACCCGATCAAGGAATGGCACATAGCAAATCATCTTATCATATTCATATTGCTTCACGTCATTCTATAACATTGATGCCTAACGGCCACAAATAACATTCAACCGAAATCTATGGTTGAGGATTATTTAGGATTACGTATTGAAAACCTTACTAATATCACATATCAAAAGACGTCACATATGCAAAAAACCAAGATTTTGTGCTATGCTTTTCCCAAACCAACGTGAGCTACAATCGTAGATCTCGCATTAGCAGTATGAGGGCAATGGCAAAAAAGGACAGAACCTTCACGAAGCTTGGACAAAATTCCATGACGAATTCCGACATTTCTTGATAGATCTCCATGCCTTCACCCCTAGCCGACTTCCATAATGTTTGTAAACTTCGTCAACCGCTTTCTCCAGTCCAGATTTCTTATCAATGCCAGTTGATTTTTTTATCCTGTTAAAAATATTTGTAATTTGATCATGAGATAGATTGTCTTTGATGACGGTTTTCTTGTCATGGAGGATCTTCACGTCCTCTACAGTATCTATAATCCCACACATCAAATCAACGTATTCTGGAAGCTCGAGGATCAAACCTGTCATGGCCCAAGCTTATATTCTTAATATAACTTCTGAATTATCATTCAGAGTGATTTCAGGGAGGTACAAAGTGCGTGTTTCCTTGTTAAATTTGATGTCCCTGATACCCCATTCCGTGACGGCAAACGTCACTCCACCAATTTTTTGAAGGGTCGACGCCCAAGGAATTTCAATCTCGTCCAGTGAATTTTGGTTTTCGATTTTTCCGAATACAGAAAGAATCATCTCCAATGGCACTACCTTTATGGACTTGATAAGTTTTTGAACTGTTTCCAGGCCCTTTCCTAAGTTCTGTGAATGATCAGTCCGAGTCTTAAAATCTATCTCTACCATAGAGTTCAGATAGTTTACAGTTAAACAGTACAAATACTCTAGTAGATGCACAGGTTTGGGGTCAGGCGGACATAGCACGTGATCTAACAATTTAAGTGGGGAGAATGCTTTACAAAACTTACAAATGACATTGGCATCATTAGAAACTGTCCATTTTTCGACACTGTCATCAACCCCAGACCTAGTTATTTCCCCTTCTTTATTATTAGCACAAGAGGATTGGAATTGGATAGCTTTCTGGATTTCTTCTAACACAACAAGAGGAATTTGGTTCGCCAGCATGAATATATCATCTGTCAATTTCATACCTGCAGAGAATCCAGTATATGGTTGTCAGTACGGAAATGAAGATGAAAGAACAAGGCATCAAAGTGCCGATATCCATGCTAAGGTATAGCCATCAACTGTCATCCCATGAAAACCCACATGATCAGTTGAATTGGATATGGCCCGAATCAATGATTTTTCAAGTTAAAAGGGTGGACCGTGATGACTTAATCCTACAGTCAATTAGAGAAACGTAAGTAGATTGGTATATGAGCTTAAGATTTGTATATTTTATTGTACAATACGTTTTAAAGCTTTTGAAAACATGACCAAAAGTTGTAATAAAGTATAATGTGTGTCCTTAGTGTTACATATGTCCCGCTACATATATACCTGCAGAATCAACAGTGTGGTTGCAAGTATGCAAATGATAGTGCAGGAACAAAGCATCAATTGCCCATATCCATGCTAATGTATCGTCATGAAGATCCAAGTGTTACATATGTATCGGCGTTAGAACTTTTTTACTGCAGCTAGCTTGTGCCTCTCCATCTGGTAGAGCTCAGGGCGAAAATGGTGATACGGCCCAGATGTGACTCGAGACATTTTGGGGCTTAAAACGGAATCGATAAATGACGTTGTGTTTATTTTTAATATTAATAATAAATTTAATTTTTTTTTAAATACAAAAATATTAATTAAATTTTTATATTCAAATTTTTGTTACCGTATTTAAACTTAATAGTAAGAGAGATAGAATAATTGAAAAATTATGACAGTAAGTTTAAACTTGACTTTTTCAGAGGTTAAAACTAAATTTTTTAATAGTTTTAGTTTTAAGGTTAGTTTTTTTTTTTATTTAAAAAAATAATTTTAGGACCTTTTAATTTTCCGGCTGAATTAATAGGCCCAATCTATTTAAGTTAAAATATTTTGTTTAGGCATGGATTGGATTATTACTTTATACCTATAAATTATTGGCCTTCCTCGAAGTGAGGCCTTAAATTTTTTTTTTAATTGGACTTGTATTTTTATAAGCCCTTGTTGTAGGGTTTAAAATATGGAGAAATTGAAATGGGGTATACCAAATTAGACTTAATTTAAAAAAATACAAAAAAAAAAATATTAGGTAATTAAGTCCTTAATTTTGATGTTTATTTGTATGTAAGTACATTATTTGAATTTTACTGATTTTTTTGTGACATTTTTGTCCTCCATTGATCCATGTGTATTTTTTTGAAAAATGGTGCATTAAACATCTCCTAATTTTATGGGTGAACTTTAATATTTCATATTTGTATGTCCTCCCTTGATTCATGTGAAATTTGTTTAGAAAGTGATTTTATTTTCAAATTATATTTAATACACCTTGATTCATGCGATATATATATACTTGTTGTTAAATCTCTTATCTAAATTTTAAATTATCTTTGATGCATCTTGATTCATGCGTATTTTTTTTTTTTTTGAAAAGTGGTTTTACTTTCAAATTATATTTATGCATTAAATATTTACTACTACTAGTTTTATAGGAGAATTTTAATATTTCTTTTATTTTAGAGTATATCACTTGTTTGAATTTTAAAATTTGTTAATATCCAAACTCAATAATAGTGTAACAAATACACTGTAATAATACATTATAACAAAAACAGTGTTCAGTAGTTTTGTGCATGTAATAACAAATTCAAAACGAAGATGAGTCAGTTTTAATGAAATTATATGAAACTATATATTTGACAAAATGTAATAATATAATTTTTTGTGTAAATAGTTTGTTATATTGTTTTGTTACACTATTACACTATTCGAATATTAAATTAATTTATATATATATATATATATATATATATATATAATATATATATAACATAAAATTAAATAAAACTTGAAGAATATTACATTATCTAAACACTCTTTGCAACCTAAAACAACATTTCAATTTGAAATTAAGAGAGTTCATACTATTTTCCAGAAATTTCAGTAAAATTTTCTCTAAACATGTCTACAAAATTTACAATCATACATAACAATTATCATAATTCACCACACCACCACTATAATCAATACATACCCAACCATCAACACATCCATCCATCAAAACATTAAGCTAGTCCCTACTAATTTCAAAAAATTTGAATAGAGTTTTCTCTAAAAATAAAAATCTAATAATATCTAAACATGTATATAAAACTTACAATCATACATAACAATCATCATAATACACCATATAACCACACACTACAACAAATTTATTTTTTAGCGACGAATTGACTCGTCGCAAAATGTATAAATTTCGTTGCCAAAAATTTTCTGCGACGAACTTATTTCGTTGCCAAAAATACATAATAGGCGACCATGATTTGTCGCCAAAAAATAAATTATTTTAACCACATAAAATCTTTAGCAATAATTATATTCGTCGCAAAATGTAAAAACTTCAGCGATCGTCTCTATTTCGTTGCTAAAAATAAGTACACGTTTGTCGCCAAAAAAATCAACCAGCATTTTAACAAGGAATTTTTTTCGTTGCCAAAAATGATGAACAATATTTTTGTGACGACATGTTTTCGTCGCCCAAAAAATGAACATAATTGAATCCCATTTGGCCCTATAATAATTTAAAAACACTTATAACAACTCAAAAACATTCTGCATGCATCCACTTATCATAATTACTAAAACATTAATATATTACTCAAAATATAAAATAACATCCAACACTTTTCAATAGCATCAAACAATATCCAAAACCCCTAACAATTTCCAAAATTTTCAACATCCAACATTCCAACATCTAAAATCTCAACAACAAAATATCTCAAATATTTGAAAGAAAAGATGTCTGAGTATCCAAAAAAAACTTTTTACAATTCATCTTCAATCTGTGACAAACACAAAAAACTCATTAAGGCATTATAGATAAGAAATAAAAGAAAAAATATATAAATTTTGAATTTATAGGTTAATAATTTAATGTTTGACTAAGTATATGATAATAGCCAAAAAATAGCTTACCAAGATAAAGTTGAATTGCTCGGCTCCCTAATGCCCCCACCACATTACACTGCTAACCTCACCTCTATCATTTGTTGTATCATCATTTCTTGCCACTTCTCCATTTGTTGAAGTTTTTTCTTAGTTTCATCTAACTCTATCTTCAGACTCGTCACCTCCTCTTCATTTGCAATAGTCTTAGACTTCTTTTTTGAAAAAAGTTTTGGTCCAACCCCATAACATCTCTTAAAGTCAGACTTGCAGCTAAGGACGGTGTTTGCAATCTCCTCCTCAGAAATGTGTTATTCACCATCTTGTGTGGACTTGTCTCTTAATTCCTTCATCTGGTTCTAAAATTTAAAAAATAATCAATAACTTGTTTACAAAACGAAACTTATGAATCTTATAAATCTCAAATACAATAACATTAAGAAAATTTTTATACTTACGTATCGAGACTCAGCTTCTTGTGATATCCATTTGTTCAACTTTTTGCTAAAATGAGATTCACGAAAGAAATCTACAAAATGAAGTGGCTCCTGGGTATCGGGATCTTTCTGCTTTAAAAAACTGTATAGTTACAATACCTTAATTAAGATAACATACAAAAAAAGTATAAGTTAAAACACTTAACCATAACATGCATTGCAAATGGAAAAGACTTGGAACCCATAACATGATTGTAGAGTAGCTTGGCACGATTTGCAGAATTTATTTTAGATCGTTTCTACATAAAAAATTTAACATAGGTTAGTGTAGGGACAATATCCTATTGTAAATAAAAACCAGCAACATTAGTGATAAAATATCAAGTTTTTACCTGAAATTCTGGATCTTGAATACGTGCTCGATTATATAATTCCAATCATCCTTACTAACTTGTTTGTAGGGCTTAGTTTTTGGGTCCAGGCCAGCCTTCACCAATTGTTTATAGTGACTGTGCATCTTAGAACGATGGTCACTATAGAAACGAACAAACTTAGCTTCAATGTTTTCCCGAACACGTTCTGACTCATCGTATCCGACAATGTCAAACCTTGTCTGTACAAAAAAATAGTACATTATTTTGAACAAAAACAATTATATTTATAACGAATATAATAAAAAAGAATAATAAATAAGTATAATTACCTAAAGGCGTGCAATGATAGGGACACGCATGTCATCAGAAAAATCATTCCATAGGGTCACAGTAATTGGGACGAAAGCCCTAGCCAAGGCTCACATCTCATTAATGCAATGTTGTGCATTTTTTCCGACTGGGACATTCCCACCATTTGGGATCTCAACATGCAGCTTCTCATTTGCCTCCACCATTTTCTCTACAACCTTTCCTCGTGTAGGACCTCGCCCATTTCTTGAGGTCGACCCTGAAATTACCAAAATATAATAAATGAATACAGAAAAATACTTTAAAAGTGTCTAATATAAATGAAATCATACTTGTACTGCTAGCTACAATATGTGGACTACAGGTGGTCGATGTCGGTGATGGAGATTGCACCTCCTCATGTGCAGTTGCAGGTATAGATAAGACTTTAGGTCGATGACCTGGAGCTATTTATGTTTCCTAAAGAATTATGATACATGAGTCATTATGCAAATAATCAACTAGAAATACAACAGTTATAACAAAACAAAACAGCATACCATTACGAAGAAAATTTGGTTAAACTATCTTTATATTTCGGGATCAACATCTGACTCAGAATGACTTTCCATATCTCATTCAGAATCACTATACTCTAGTAGTGTCTCATCATCATTATCATCATCATCACAGATGAAATCATCATCGACATCTTTATCTTGTATGTTTTCAGACAACATTACCCGTCTGCTCGGGACAAGCACGGGATCAAGTTCGGTCCTACAGAATAGGTGCGTATC